CATGAAAGTCAATAGTACCATCTATAATGTCCGCATGAACAGGTCCAAATTTAAATGCTTTAAAGGGTCCATGCAATCACTTTTTCTTAGAAGAATATGCTGTGGAACTTCTCCTCTGAAATGAACGAACACTATTTGACATTTTTTTTTATCGAAAAGTACACTTTAAAATCATTGCTTTCCAGACAACTGAGGGTGCTGTTGCTGTGATGCCATTTCAGGAAGACAACCTCAGTTTAGGGGTTTTGTGCTTAAATTGTGAACCCCAAAATTTGCTCATTGAAAAAACATGTGAAAAAAGTTTGCTCATTGGCTTACTGCCATGTACTGACACAATGAATCACCAATGAAAACAACAGCAAACTATCCAACATTCTGGCATCTTTTGGTGCCGAAGTAGCTGTAATATTGAGGTTTCTGCCTGAAATGACATCACACGTTTGCACATAAATATAAAACCCAAAAGGCACCTACTAACCTTGAAAACGGCAAAACGAAAATTGAAAATAAGGTTAATTGGGACACAAATGTGTGTTTTTCAAGGATTGCATTAAAAATTTTATATTGCATGGACCCTAAAATAAAAGTAATTTTCTGTTGCACAAAACTGTCAGCAGTGTTGTGCACAGTCCTGGCATTTCGTGGTGGTAATTGTATGTGCATTATAAAAAAAAAATTTATATTATAAATGCTTGCCCTTATTTTCAACATAAAATTATCATGGCATAGCCAGGGATAAAAAAAATTAAAATGTTAAACATGATCTCATATACATGTACATTTTGAAATAGTTGTATGTCATGACTCCAATGGTTACGGTGTTCGACTCGTGTGCCGTGGTACATGGGTTCGAATCCTGACCGTGGGAACATGGTGCTTGTGCTCTTGAGCAAGGCACTTTACCATAATTGCTTCGTCCTTCGGATGGGACGTAAAGCCGTAGGTCCCATGTTGTGCAATGCACGTTAAAGAACCCATGTAACACTTATCGCTAATAGAATGGGTTTGCCCCGGTGTTTCTGGCAGTGGCCGCTTAATGCGCCGCAGCACCTTGTAAACCGTAAAGGTGCTACATAATGGTTCTCATATTTCTCATCTACTTCATTTACCTATCTCTAATAGACGACATAATTTCCAGCGCCTTGAGTACCTAATTGTTGGTAGACCTACGTGCGCTATATAAGACTTCGGTATTATTATTATTGTATTATATTCTAAAGCATACTAAGGAAAAATAGAGTGATAGTCACATGAACAACCTTTCTTACAGTTACAGATAAAAGAATTTGCTTTTGTGTCTTGTATTTTGAGATCTATGCACAAGTCACTGCTGCTTGAATCAAAGTTACCGTACTCCTAAAAGTTTGAGCAATTTGTTACTGCATGAACACCGACAGTGCAAAAAGTGAAAAGTTGAATTTGTTATAATATCCAGAACTATAAGTTTCACAACGTCAAATGTTGTGTCAAATTAAAGAGGACAAGCCCTTTAATTGAATGCTGTGGCATTCAGTATTAGTGTTCATTCCAGACAATTTAAACTCATGACGTTATCAAACCAGAAATAACACATAAGTAAAATGTGACTTGAAACCTATTTATCACTGAATGCATTTGTTCAAATTAATAAAAGCCTTAAGGCAAAACGAGGTTGAATTTCATACTTTGTTTTTGTTTTTCTTTGTTTTGGGTGGGTTTTTGGGGGCATAAAACTGAGTCAGACAATCTCAAATAAAATAGTTCAGCATCTCATCACCCTGCGTTTGTTATAAGGACAAATACCAACCTCTAGTTTTAGAATTAGCAAAAAGAAACATTTTAATTTTTTTCTAAGGATGGTTTAGATCTTTTCTGTTTCTTTTGCTATTATTTCAGTATCATTATCTTCTGTTCGTGCATGCACTTGATTTTTTTTTGCAAATAGCAAAGCCTCAATTCTGTTTTCTTGACACTGGTTGATATACATGTAATGCTCGTTTAGGCAATCAATTTGTCTTCAGGTCCTTCTCTTTAAGAACTTGGTGAAGTCAAAAGGATTGAGGCTGCAGCTCTTCCATCCATTGTCATGACCTTGATGTTGCCGTTAGGTTTATAAAAACTACAGATTGTGTTTACTTCAGTTATGAAGTTCAACTTGATTCACTATTCAGTTTAATTATAAATTGAGTCATTATTAAAAGGAAACAAAAGTCAAATGACATCACAGTGCTTTACCCAAATGGAGTTCCTGATTGATGAAAATTGTTACATGTTACATGTAAAACAAATATATGAGCAATCGCTTCCTATGCCATAATATTGTTTATGCTCCCATAGCTACAAGTTTAAGATAAGGCATCTCACAATTAAGTTGCGAAAGAATGACTGTAGGCTGAAATCTTATTTTTCATCCTTGTAGGAATATGGGATGAAGAAATCTTGAAAGGCCCCCCAAGAGGTACCGGTACCAAACAATCCAAAAGAACTCGTAACATGGGTTTTAATAAATGTTTACACACTCAAAACAATTTATTTAATGTACTTGATTTATTTCATTTCTGAGTAAAAGTACTGGATGCTCAAAATACATTTCATATTATATCAAATAGTGACAAAATATATATACTTCTGTCTATTCACTTAAAATTTAATTGCATGATTTCTCTTTAATTGGCACAAAACTGGCACTCACTTGATTGTATGTTTAATATACTTCTAAAAGCTGAAATACTGAAGACACTATGAAGACTAATGGGCTTGGTACATGTATACAGTTTTGCCCCTACATCAATTAAGGATGCTTCTAACATAATGTAAATGGTTAAAAAAAATGCCATTACAATAGTGATCTACTCGTTATTCATCAACATACATGTACATAGAGAGCATCGTAAATGCATGATGGAAAATTAATACTTTTTTATAGGTAAATTAACATGAACTGCCAAGGGTAACTATAGTCTTCCATTACGTGTGCAGAGCCACACTATAAAGTTTGATAGTTTCAAGCACCAACAATTTGCACGCCATTTAAAGTTATTTTTAAAAATTGTGATGAGCAGATAAGTGGTTTAAGGTGTTAATTAGCTGTCAGCTGACCTTCATTCATATTAATTGTCGATTCTGAATGCATATCACAAATGCTTGCCATAAAATAATTACTCTGTGTAGTGCGCAAAAGCTCAACTTCACCTCAGGGACACCTGAAGAACAACACAACTGGCACTTAAAACAGTACCAGTGAAAGCAATTAATAAATTGTAATGTCCCTCAGTCAGTTCTGACCCCATTGTAAGCCACTGTATTTTGGATGTAGGATGTTCTTAACCTCCTTCTTTTGAAGACAAGACTCATTTGTTGTTACCATAGCTCATACAAACATGACACACTATCATACCATACACATCCACAAATTCTTCATTGCTTTTCCGCGTGTAAGCGGAAAAGCATTGTTTCTGTTCCGATTTTTTTTCCTTCTTTTTTTCTTCTTTTTGTTCCACCCCCAAATCCCATAGACTTTGTACACGTTTATTCACCACGGCACTTTGGACCTAAAACAAAGTCGTATTCTAATGAAACTTGTCCCATGTAAAGACCCCATAGTGAGTTTGTGTCCCGAAGAGTGACGTCACGATGACGTCATCATGGGTCACATGACGTCATCTTAAATGTGCAAACTTGAAGACCCTATATCTAGAGAACCGTAAGTCCGATTTGGTTGAAACTCGGTATGTAGGTAGACCGGGATGTGTTAAAGACGAAAATTGAGGTGACGTCATCATGACGTCATTGTGTGATTTTATACAGATTTTTGAAGTTTTTGACCTTTAAGCCATATCTCACGAACCCAAATATGTTAAATTCAAAATTCTTTTGTATTAGGTTTGTTAGGCAACAGGGATATGTACAAAATTTTGAAAAATGTGTGACGTCATGATGACCGATCGTCGTGTGAAACTTGGTGGGTGGGTAGATAATAACACTAGTACACAAAATCTTGAATGACGTCACGATGACGGCATTGGTAGATTTTTTACGATTTTTTTTAATATTGCGAATTTTTTTTTGCTTACAAAATTTAACACTTTTATTAATCCGATATTTTTCAAACTTGGTACAGACTAAAACCACAATAAAATACTGAGCACTGCCAAGTATTGTTACGATGACGTCATCTTTAGACATGTGACGTCATCGTTAACTTGTATACTTTAAGCCCCAATATCTCATGAACAGTAAGTCAGATTGGGTTGAAACTTGGTATGGGGGTAGGCCATGATGTGTTACAATTAAATATTGAGGTGACGTCATCATGACGTCATTGTGTGATTTTATATAGATTTTTGAAGCTTTGGACCTTTAAGCCATATCTCACGAACCCAATATGTGAAATTCAAAATTCTTTTGTATTAGGTTTGTTTTTAGGCAATATGTATATGTACACAATTTTGAAAAATGTGTGACGTCATATGACGTCATCAAAAATGCGCTTTTTTGAAACACATATAAGGGAATGTCCGATCGTCATGAAACTTAGTGGGTGGGTGGATAATAACACTAGTACACAAAATCTTAAATGACGTCACGATGACGTCATCGGTAGATTTTTTACGATTTTTTAATATTGCCAATTTTTTTCTGCTTACAAAATTTAATACTTTTATTAATCCGATTGTTTTCAAACTTGGTACAGACAAAAACCACAATAAAATAATGAGCACTGCCAAGTATTGTTACAATGACGTCACTATAGACATGTGACATCATCGTTAACTTGTATATTTTAAGCCCCCATGAGTGAACACTCCTCTTAAGACCAACCCGACCAACTGTATAGGCCACTTGGGTTGGGACACACCATTTTGGGGAGCCTGCCCTATGGGATTAAGATATTTACCAGCACTTATCCTATAATTGGTTCCCATAAAGGAGCGAAGGTCACTCTGCCTAAGAGATTTCAAGCATAATATTTCGTTTCTAAACTCAATCTGTCGGCCGACAAAAGTATTATCATAATGATGTACCTGAAATGTTGACTTGTTTTATATTTTGAACTGTGAAAATCGGTGAATATAAGGCCTAGAACGATCTTTTTTGTGACCGTTGGTGCTGACTCTCGACTGCAAACTTGTAGTTCCAGAAAGCAGTGTGGCTAATAACAGGTGGTAGTTCAATTAACCTTCAAGTGATTTATGTGGGACAGTGGAGCAGGGATCAGAATTTGTTTACTGAAACCAGCCACTTTCTTAAGAGGGCCATTTTCGTCATGCCTATATCACATGAACAGTAAGTCAGATTGGGTTGAAACTTGGTTTTGGGGTAGGCCGGGATGTGTTACAAACAAATATTGAGGAGACGTCATCATGACGTCATCTTGTGATTATATATATATATATTTTTTAATTTTGGAGACTTGCCGTATCTCACAAACGCAATATTCCAAAATCAAAATTCTTTTTGAATTAGGTTTGTTAGACAAAAGGTAAATGCACACAGTTTTGCACAAAACAGAAAAATTTGACCTCAATTTAAAAAAAACCATAATGCGGAAAAGCCTATGTTCTGTTGGAAACAGACATAGACCTCTAGTTTCAATTTACAACTGATACAGTGCACTACTTTTTCCCAGTTTCTTGAAATTAGAAAATAATGGCGCCTGCATGTGTGTTGTTTATTTTCACAGGCAAGGACAAGGGAATGAATTTCAACTTCAAATACTTGGAAAGACAAAAATTTATTATCCAGCCAAGAAGATCTGAAGTCGAATATGAGCAAATAAAAGAAAATTGCTCCCTGCCATCTGCACATTCATTTTTATGTTTCTTTTTTCTTTGCTGTTTTTCTTTTTGGGATAGACATGTTTTGATTTGCATTTGGCCTCAACAAATATTGACAGTGTCTTGTGGGTTAAAGTAGAACTATCCCTTTGAGGTGATCAGAGAGTTGGAAATTCTATGGTGAAAGTGAGGATGAAATGGATTATCTACAGATCATTGAAGAGACTACCTTTGTCCTTCACAAAGACAAACTATATGCAGTGTTGTAGTCAAGCACTTTTTTCAGAGTACTGAGTATTGTGCGTATAATTGGCCCACCAGCCCCAGTAAGACCAATATACAGACCCACTCACAGCTACATGTAGCTGTTAAATGTGCTTGTCTGGACGTGCAGAAAGATAAATCAGGAAAGTTCCATTTCTCTGCAAGCCAATTAATCATTTCAAACTAAAAGTATCGATAAAATATGGCTGTGGTAAGTCAAGATACATCTTGTTTTCTGAGCACTGCTATTCGAGTACGAATACTTTAATGACAGAGTACAATTTTGACATGTCGAGTACGAGTACTTTGCTGCCCGAGTACGAGTACCGTCATTTCGAGTACAAGTACTTTGACATTTGAGTACGAGTACGAGTACTCTAAAAAAAAGTACTCAACACTGACTATATGCACCCTTAGCCCTTTGGAGAAGACATACCAATTAGACCGTTAAGAAAACTTATCAACCACTCTGATCTTGATCTGTAGCCACTGGTTTCCGCTCAAACACTCAAAACAATCAGCAAACTAAAACTACATTTATACAGTCACACATTTATGTAAAAATACAGCTTTGGGTAGGCTTTCAAAACATGCTGCGAGGGCCTACTTCTTTTCATTGTTTAAGTATTTAAATTATGTTTTTCAAAATCTCCCAAGCAAACTTTTCCTAATAAAATGAGATCCTTGGAAATTGTCTACCATTTTGAAGACAAATAATTTTATGAAACAACTCCTAAAGTCCTAAGTATCCAACTGATGTCTAATATTAAAACGTAATTATCATGAAACTACTTGGTATTTAACAAAAACTATGAAGTTACATTTTTGTGATTGAGGCCAATAAGGAATGCTTTTTTAATGAAGAATGCATATCTTTCTAACGTTCCATCAGATGAAAATCTTTGCCTTAATGAAATTTTTTTGCAACGTTGACAATCACAAAAAGGCCTAAAAAATATTAAAGAATATTAAAAATACATTCTTAAATACCAAATATATTGACTATGATGGATTACAACCACTTCCTGATTCTTTAAATGAATACGACAACCTACACTACACATACTAATAGCAGAGTACAAACAAAAGAGTTGATTACCTCCAAAATAGCCCAGAACGCCAATATGTATAACATACCCTTATCATTCTCAGGGTTCCATAGTTATACTATACTTTCTATGGTTCATGAATAACTAATTACAATACATGCATTTTAGATGCATCAGGTACACATGTTTTTGCATCACAGGCTTTACATCAAGATGGACATGATTTTTATTTATTACAGTACAATGTCCAGTCCATCAACAATTAATTTGCTTCCAATTTTGACTTGGGCTGATGCAGGTTGTTTTGAGTCAGGCAACATAATGATTTCAATTTTACAATACATTTTACATAGTGTTTGAAGGAGTGCACTGCTACAATCAAATGGTCCCAAACCAGTTAAATGATATAACTTAAGTACACTGAATCCTTTGGTTCATTTTTTTTAGTAAGTTGAACGACTCTGGATATTAAATGATCATGATGCACAAATCATTCTAGTTATAGTGTGTTAATCATGACCACTCCTTGGTAGGTTTATATGATGGTACATCCACAACAGCACTGCTGTGGATAGTCTGGTGCATGCACTTTGTGCTCAAAGCCATAGACAAAGAAGTTTCCTTGGGTCTCTTTCCACTTGTACATAGCTTGAGCTACAGGAATGACACGCACACTGTGGCGCTGTTCAAAGAAATAGAACATAAAATTGAATTTAGTTCAGAAGCACATGCAATTTTGGCTCCAAGGTGTGTCGGGGGGGGGGGGGGGGTGCCAAGGGGAGGGGGGTTTAAGAAGCATGTGCCACATTTTGCTGCATGAAAAGGAAGGTCATTATATTAATGATATAAATAAACATAAAAGGAAGGTCATTTTTTTATATTAATTATATAAATAAAAATAGTACATATCTGTACTTATAAACGACTAAATACATTAAAGGAGGGTGAAAAGTATAGGGCTGTTCATATAAACCGAAGCTTGTAGAGAACCCATAAATGGACAATACAGAACTATAAACATTTCAAAGGGAAGCAAAACACAAGAGGAAAAATCCACAAGAGGGGACACCAAAACCCGAGACAAAATGAATAGTTGCGATGAAGATAAGTTAAATAAGAGAGATGATGCATTGTATGAAAACAACTATGTGGATATGGAGAGTGGCTAAGGAAGGAAAGCTATGTTACATATTGTGATAGGAGCACCTTTTTGTAAGAGGATTTAAAACAACCAACTGACATCATTGTTCTTATTACATTGTCAATAGTGTTCCACAAACGGGGACAGAGTAGAACTAGAATAGAGGGTGCGGGAAAATGGGATGATTTGTGGCGGGATCTAGTTGAATTATCGTGTGTTTTGGACTGATGAAGAGAAAGAAGAGAAACTGTTTGGGAGAAGGTTGAGAGTGAATTTATACATAAAGATCCCAGTGTGATATATATTAATTACAGCCTTAGTTTGCTGCACCTCACATTTAACTCACAAGACATTAAGATGCACAATCAGTTTCTAGTATTCCATTCTTTGTTCTGAAACCTATCTGTAAGGTTTATATTAGCTTACTGTTAATATAGCTACTCTCCGGTGTATTTGACCTGTCGGCCCCAACCCACAAACCAAATTTAAAGTTCCTACATGTAAGTAAAGTATTTCTCAGGTTATCGCATATGCGCACACACACCCACATGGAAGGACAAGGGGGAAATAGTATGCCACTTCGGCTTCACCGCGGGGCTTAAAAAAGCATCCCCCGTGGAGCCCAAATATATAGTAAGAACATCAGCATTGACTTCATGAAAGGTACACTCTGCGTTAGGCTTGCCAGGTTCCGGCCGTTCCCAGGTTCTAACCGGTTCCAATATGGGAACTGGAACCGCGAGTCCAATCTTTTCGAGAACCAGGTACCCGCTATGCTCGGTTCTGGCTCCAAAAGAATCGGTTCTAGATTAAATTACCTATTCTCTGTGCACAAAACCCAGAGCCAAGAATCGGACCCACAGGACTTCAATTGCGGGGAGGCCTGGGACACTCCTATGGCCGGCTAGTCAAAACAATATTTCACGGAGAGTCGGTGACAAACTGCTTATCAGAGCCCTTTGCAAGTTTGCGGTTGGCCACGAGGCATGTATGGAACATTCCCACACAAGAAACTTTGTCCAGCCAAGGGTGTCGCGTGTCTTACATGCGGAAAACTCAACCATTTCGCAAAACACTGCCTGAGGTCACGGTCGCTTGATTGTACACAAGACAAACCACGACAAGACGCCAGTCAAAGCAATCATTGACACCGATGCGTTTGTAAGTGTCATGTCTTCTGCAACCTACCACACTCTTCCATTTGTTCCAAAACTGCGCAGACATAAAAACATAAAAGTCTGCACGTATGACAGTACCACTCCCCTTGAAAAAGGGGACACTCTTATCAGCTTCACCTCCATGTCAGAACTTGGTATCATTCATGTCGCATACAACATCCAACCTGATAACTTGCCACAAGTACATCAGTTGCTCGAGCAATAATCTGATCATTTCATTGGCATCGGTAGGCTCAAAAACTTTCAGTGCAAACTCCATGAGGACAAGTCAGCCCAACCCATCGCTCTACCCCATCGCCGCATACTGTTCCAAGTGCGGGAAAAAGTCGAAGTAGAGTTACGCAAGCTACTTCACTTGGACATCATCGAACCAGTGCGTGACGAGCCCACCCCATGAGTCTCGCCCATCCATGTCATCGAGATACGCATGTGCGTCGACATGCATAATGTCAATAAAGCCATCGGTACCGGCAAACCGAGCATGAAATGCTGGCCATAACATGGGCAGTTCTTCACTTTCATCTCTACGTATACGGGGGTGAATTCACCATCATCACAGACCACAAACCGCTGGTCACGCTATTCAACAGTCCAAACAATCAAGCTCTAGCTCAAATTGAACGCCTGATACTGAAGCTCAGGGAGTATAACTACGTGTACACTGTTGAATACCAGCTGGGTAAGCTAAACCCGGCTGACTATATGTCACGTCATCCCCAGACCAAGAAGCGGAAGAACATCTCAACTTTATCGCTGAGAACGCAGTGCCCAAAACTGTTAAGCTGGGAGAAATCCAAACTGCGACCCAACAAGATGAAGTTCTCCAGAACTGCAACAATGCATAGGTCACTGGTAGTTGGGCCAGACTCCTCAACCAACCAGACAATCAGAATGCCAGTGACATGGTGCAAAGCTTACACAGGATACGTGCTGAGCTTACCACCACAGCAAATCGCAATCTCCTGCTCTGCGGACACCATAAACAAAATTTCCCAAAATCCAAAGGGATTTTCCATTCTAGTAAGAAAATACTCACCTCTGTTTACCTACATTTGCATATCAGCGCGCATGCGCACAAACATTCGCTGAAAAGAATAGCGCCCAAGCCACACCCTCATTGTCCACTGCATGCCCCACGCCCAAAAAGGACCCTGTAACGTAATAGCTCGTCCTAGTTTTTTTTTCTTTCTTTTTTTAAAGGGAGGGATGGTAAACAGAGGTGAGTATTTTCTTACTAGAATGGAAAATCCCTTTGGATTTTGGGAATTCCATTACAGAAAATACCTCACCTCTGTTTACCTACATTTGTAGAGTAGCACCGAAAGTCTCAAGGGAGGGGAAGGGACATGCAGTGGTTCTTGAAAGTCTAAACTAGGCCTACATGCAATTCTAAATGGCATGAAAAGGTTGCTTAGACATACCCGGGTGCTGCCTATCTATTCTAAAGGAGCTTTGCGGGCTGCTGATTGTGCAGTTTCCTGGAAGACTTTCTGCTAATGCAACCCTCTGCTTGCACAACAGCTATAAGCAGCAGTCCGCTTTTCTGATACCTGAAAAAGAGAGTACTGTTCCCTGTATCTGAAAAGGAAGCTCCAAGCAGTTGAGTTCAGGAAGTTGTCACGCTGGGTGTTTCCTGAGCTTGACATTTTGATCCTCGATTTCGGGAGGGCACTCTTTGGTGGCACCGACAATCGAGCGATCATGGTCACAGAGGCTTGAAGATGATGCTAGATGACTGTACGAGCATTTGCTTGATGATGAAGCCTCTTGAAGGCCATCAGTGCGAGCATTGTAGTTCTGCAGAGCTCGCATGGGGCACCACCATATCCTTTGCTACATATGGAGAGGATGTCAACTTGGCCAGAAATATCTGGTCTGAAAATAAGTTGATTTATTCCGTGTGTTGAAATTCATCTATGGAATAAAATTAATGCAGTCATGTGCCAATGGCTATGACCTGGTAACTTAGTGAAATTCCCTTCTTAAGGCAAGCTACTGCAGCAGCCAGTAAGAATATGGGTTTCGCAACCAGACAGAAAGGAGAGTTTCAATGTACCTGTTGGTTCCGCATGGGGCTAAGGCGAGTGACCCAAGGATGATACCGCGTATCATGTGAGAAATTGATGTATTGGATGAAGTTGTTGTGCCATCATGGAAACCCTGATGAAGGACACCAATAGCTGTAGCCCTGAATTGTTGAAATTTGAAGGCCTGAATTAAAAAGGTGAAGAAAGAAATCCCCAATCGAAGTTACAGATGCAGAACGGGGATTGACAGCTCTCTCATCGCACCATTTGGTGAAGTGGAGAAGTCTACTATCATAAGTCCTTCTGGTGGATCTCTGTCTGCTCTTGGTTGCCAAGGACGTAGCTTCCTCCGAAAGTCCAGCTGATCGGAAGGAGACTTTGAGAGCATCCAGGCACAAAGATGGAGAGTGGATGGATCCGGATGCAGAATGTGAGACCCAAGTTGTGACAGGAGGTCTGGCCAGTTGGGAAGTATGAGGGGCGAGTGAACCAGGAGATCCAGAAGGCGAGGAAACTATGGCTGTCTTGGCCAGAAGGGAGCTATGAGGACTACTCTGGATAGCTCCGACTCTGTCTTTGTCAGAACCCGTTGAATGAGAGAGATCGGGGGAAGGCATAAGCATGCATTCCTGTCCAGTCGAAGCTGAGGGCATCTACCTTCCACGCCTGAGGATGAGTGTGACGGGTTGCCAATCGCCCGACTTCTTCGGTGCAAGGAAAAGGTTGAGGTGACGCCAAGAGTGGACCCCGTTGGAAGCAGAATGATGGCATTCTTGTCTATCAGAGAGAAGATTTCCTTCTCCAAAGCCGCCCGGCGTGCAGGATCTGAGGAAACAGGAGTTGGTCGTCTTGGAGGTTGTAGAGAAGGGTTGATGGTGAATTCCAGACGGTACCCTGTCGAGATAGTTTGAAGAACCCAAGTGTCCGAGGTTATGTGAGACCATCTCTGACTGAACTCCCCAAGACGACCACCCACTGGACCCGAAGCTGGAGGGATGAAAACTGCGTTGTAGTCAAAGGCCCTTGTTACCTCGCGACCCCCGGGACTTGAAGGGCAGCGAATATCTGGGGGGCTGTCTCCTGGTGTAGCTGGGGGAAGACGAAGAAGACTGATGCCCCTGATTCTTGGACTGGTTGGAGCCCTTGTCGGTAGCAAACGGGGGTTGATACTTCTTGCTGGGCTGACTGGGAGCAAATGTAGAGGGGCGTTTGGCTGAACGCCGACGAAGATCGAACTTGTCTTCCACTTTGAGGCGTTGGGCTTCATGTAACATAGTCTCGTCGAACCTGTTGTCAAAGAGATCACGCCCAGCCAGGTGAAGGTCTAGCATGCGAT